AAATGTATCCCTCCCAAATATACAGTATCAATGCCCACTACAGCATACTGTACCTGTGAGACAGTGGTTTCCTTCCCCGGTCAGTCGGTGGGTTACACGCTCCTACAAACTGTATCCTCTCTATTGTCACCCACGTGTGATCAAAGGTCCTGTAAAATCTGCCGTGCTTGACAATCTGACGTAAGAACGATATTACTCTTTGTGTACCTTTAATTAGAAAAAAAAAATTTTCATGAAATATTAAAAAAGAGAATGATATCTCTCTAAAGTGTATTTGGATTGAATGGATTCACATAAGCTTGTTATAACTTTATATTCACTAATTTTATTGTAAAATCAATACTCCTTACCATATTTGTCAAGGTCTGGAAGGTTAATCTCGTCAGAGAAGAGAACCAGCCACTTTCCGAGTTGAGAAGGAGCCATCACAACTCCATTGGGAGTCCTCTTGTACTCACAGTAATGATCAAACCTCTTTAATAAATCAGAAAAAATTCCAAAAATTAATTAAATAAAATCCAAAAAAATTCCCACACTCTTAAAAAAAAATTAGAAAAAATTAGAAAAATAAAATAAAACAAATCCAAAAATATTCCCACGCTGTTGAAAAAAATTCAGAAAAAATTCCAAAAATATAAATTAAATAATTCGAAAATATTCCTACAATCTCGAAAAAATTCAGAAAAAATTCGAAAACTTAAAATAAAATAATTCAAAAATATTCCCACGCTGTCAGAAAAAAAAAATTCGAAAAATATAATAAAAATATTCCAAAAATATTCCCATTCTCGGAAAAAAAATTTGCAACATAAAAACCCACTGTTTCGTTTAACTTTATAAATGCTAGAGACAGTATAAAATATGCCAATTGTTCCTGAAAAAATTCTTCAAAAAACCAGCATCAACATTATATGTGACCATAATTGACAAAAGGTACCTTATGGCGGGTAGTGAAATTTGTCTTTCTAGCCTAAGAAATCCAACTTCCTGAGCCCCATTCATCATAAAATTACTCCACAGGATGCAAAAAGTTACCATGAAACTTTTAGAAACAATGATTGTCTAACAAAGCACTCACAGGTTGATATTTGCCATTATAACGATCAATTTTAAAATCCGCCATAAGGGCCCTTTTGTCAATTATGGTCACATATCACTTTTGCTAGATGCACCAATTCAAAATTAAAATATTCAATTTACTTCAACTCTTGCTAGATCAGGCTAAAAGATATCCTAGCCTCCTGGAGGTGAGTGGCCCAAGAGTTGAAGAGACTGTGACGAAACTGTTGATCAAAGTAACCTCCATACACCATGAATGCTGACATCAGCAATACATCTCCACTGATTGTAGACATTTGAGTCTTGAATGTTTCACTCCCTGTGTTCCAACACTCTCTCTCTCTCTCCACTGAGACTGGTCAGTAGTGCCTTGCTCCTATTAACCTGTTAATATGATGATAACTTGATATGTAGATTTAGAGAAGTTACCTTAAGGAGACTATTGTTAGCGGGTATTTAATTTAGCAAATTTTAGCAATTTTAAAAAAATCGCTGACTTACATGTAAGTCCACACTAACTTTAATTTCCTATTATATATATTAATACTTTATTAATATTAAATGATCAAAAACGCTAAATTAAATACCAGTCAAATGTCAGTATCATGAAAATCTCTAAAATAAGCACACGCTAATATCATCTCCTTAAGGTAGTAAAACTAATTTTTAACTATAAATACATGTACTGTATGTAGAGGTGCTTGAAATATCTTGAATACTTTTAATATTATTACAATCTGGGGGCCTAGCCCCCAGGTCATCCTATAATTGATTTCACTCACGTGCGATATATGTATTAGTTAAAGCACTGTTGAGAGTAGGTTACAGAAATTATTGCACGAGGGGCGGTCAAGAGGAAAATGTAGCAAGAGGCGAAGCCAAGAGCTACATTTTCGTCGAGACCGTCCTGAGTGCAATAATTTCCGTAATCTACAAATCAACAGTGCTTTGATTGGTTTGTAGTGGTGCGTGGGCGGATCAAATGAAATTTCAAAAGTCGCGCAGGTGGCCAGCACAAGACGATCAGATCTCATTTATCACTATTAACATGTCTAGTGTATGTAGCTGAGGCTGCTATTTGCCTCTATCAAACAAAGCTTGTGGTTAACAGGAAAGCCCATACATATTATACTGTGCAGTACTATATATTCCACACAGTGCTACATTTTCCTACCATGCGGTTATTGGAAGTTGTAGCACTGGCAGCACCTTTGATCTGCCCACGCACCATACTACAAGTGTATATATTTGTATGTCCACATTTACATTTCTTCCATACACATTGTATTGGAGAAATAACAAGCCTTAGCAACCACCAACCACGCTACGTAAGTGGGTGTGGTTATGGCAAACAAAATGGCAGTTTGCACATGGAACAAAGTTATGAGCTTTCTAACAGCGAAAGAAAATAGAGATACTGTCTAAAGTCTTTTCTGGAAGGATTAGAAGGAAGAGAGAACCTTCATAAGTCTTATTAAGAACACAGCTGTACATGCAAGGTGGTGAAAACAATTATAGGAATAATTTTACACTGTTACGCTTGTAAAGCTTCATTATTAAAATACTTTACCTTTTTTTCTCAAAAAGTTGATAAATCGTTTTTAAAAACATTAGCATCAGAAATGAGCATTGCATAATCTTCTTTATATCTATTAATAAAAAAAGACATTAAAAATATTATTATTATTTTTAATTTTTTGTTTTGTTCTTTACTTTGCTATAGAGGCTTCAAGTTCTGCTATTATTTTTGTTATTTTTTCTCCTTTTGACAAATTTCCTCAGCTTTGGTTTCCAAATCTTTCAATTCTTCACGTAATGGATCAACACTCTTCAACATATCAGCATAACTCAACTATAGGAGAGAGAGAAGAGGATACAATATTATCAATACAATAAGGTACACAATTATTACAAAGAAATAAAATGAATAAAAATGCCTCAAGTTTACTTTAAATTGTGTGCATTAATTTAGCATTTTAGATCCATTTGGGAGTTTGGCTATATTAAAAATTTTTACACAGCAAGCAATTCATGAACTGGCTTTAGAGCAATTGAAAAAATTCATTAGATCAAATCTTGATCGGAATCAGCTCAAACTTTCTACACAACATAAGTTCATGTATGTGCATTGGAAAATGTTATAAAAATTGAGAATTTTCTACTTGACATTTTGGGCCAACACCCCTGATAGTACAGGGACTTTGACCCAATTTTTGAGCAGCTTCAAAAATTCATAAAAAATCTAAAATTACATTCATGACATTTGTACCTTGTTTCAGTCCAGGGTCTTGTAATGGTATTCACTCAAACTAGGCGTGTATAAGCAGTCTTGCTTTAGCTATGTAGGCCTGATAGAATGGTTGCTCTCTGGTGTCCACTCTCATGGTGTGTTCTAGTTTCTTCACCAGCTCATTCAAGTATATATCATCACTGGGTCTGTTCTTCACTCCGGCCTGATTACTGGGAGAGAACTCAACTGCTGTAGCCAGGATCATCAGCACTCCTGTGTACCAGTACATGTGTCATTATCATTTATTAATTCATTCATTAGTACAGGCATTGTCTTGGCTCTGGACAGCAGGTGGAAGCATAGTTTACTCGGCTGTATCAATATATTAGTGCTACCATACTTTACTGATTGATACCACCAACTACCCTGAGGGGCGGGGCATAACTGTAACCATAACAACACTAATGATAACTTACAACAATGATAAGGAGTCTGATAATAAATATCAACACATATGCACCTAAAACCTATTAGTAACTATTAATAACTAGTAATTAACAGTGACCACACCCACCCATAACAAGTTATTCTTATCAACAATCCAAGAGGGCAGTGCTATACCAAATGAAGC